AATAAATTACTGCAAACACTATGAGGGTCGTTTCTCCAACACTGCTACCACAATATAATTCCAAGTGTTCTTGCTTTTGGATGAGCTTGAGCTTGAGTTAGGGGGAGGTAAATTGGATTCACTGACCTATCATAGGTTATCCCTCTCTCCTTATAGGCGAACTTAGATTTAACAGATAAATTTTGCTAGCATTATTGTGAGAAAGCAGGATTAATTGCAAAATCAGAAGAAATATAATTATACAAGAGATTATGTGATACATTAAATGAACCACCGCTGGAGCCATTGGCTTTGATCGCTGAAAGCTATTACCATCATGGCAATCACTAACGAGGGAAGAAGCGGCAGACAGAGAATTTAATTGAGCAATTCCACCCCTAGAGCCATCGTCGTCATGGCAATCGCTGACAAGGGAAGAGCGACAGTCACTGAGGGAGTAACTGAGTGTTAAAATAGATGAATATGTTGGTTTTAGGTGATATATTAGTAAATATAAAAGTTTAGGTGTTAAATATCTATTTATAATAGTTTGAAGTGTTAATTTTTAATGGTGTCTTGCCAGTCTGGCCGACTTGTAAAGAGTCGTGATAAAAAGTGAGAATGGCATAAAACTTTTTATGTCAATATTCACTTTTTTTTATGTTTTTCTTACATCTTTGGCAATCGTTATTCTCCTCGCAACTCCAACATTATATCACTTTTCATCTACGCTAATGGCTTTATCTTCAAAAAAAGGTTAGTCTGTTATTTGCTTACCGTGATAATTGTGTATGAGTTGCATACTAACTACATTTTCTATATGTATTTACTATTTATGAACTGTTTTTTTTTTTTTTTTGGTTATGTGTATTTATTGCGTACTTAACAAATGATTGTGTTTATCTTGTTCCTTTCCGACTCTTAGAGTTTGTTTTTTTTATAACTGCATGTTGGTTGCTGCTTGTTTAGGATTTTGTGTATTTTATGTGTTTATTTATTTATATTTTCGTTTATATTCGACCTCTTACTTTTCGATGCTATGTATAAATTTTTTTCGAACAACCTACGCCACTTTTGTGGAGATAATAAACCCTGATGTGGAGGACACATTGATGATATTAAACATCTACCAATTTCTGAAATTTCTTTTTCTCGAGCAGAATGTCCAATTGATGTACGAGCCCTCAAACTGTGGGATATTCCATAATAATGTTTTATAATAAAGGATCATGTTATACAGTTCAAAACAGGTGAAGTGGTCATTCTTAATGGTTTGCCAAATAGATATCAAGAGATCTCTCGACTTAGCTCTACACTCATCAAAGGAAGTAAAGATCGATATGCTGGAATTGAACAGATCAACCCCCATCCACTATATTAAAAATATTTATTATGTATTTGTGTTCAAATAATTTTTTTTTTTAACTTAATAACCTGCAGACCTCTAGGAGGCTTAATTCAATATCAAATAGTGTATATGAGTTTTTATCTATTAATTGGGCTTGGTCAATTAAGAAATTTTTAATTTGAGAGTTTAATAAAGTTTCCAAGAAGATTTCAATGCAAAAACTAATTGTTTACATAAATAATTTTTGTGCATTTATTACTTATGAGTGCTAAAAGTATCATCATAAGTTTTATGTCATTTTACTAATTCATTTGTTAATTCATTTTACTAATTCATTTGTTAATTTATATTTGAACTTATGCATATTTGGTTCTTAGAGCACACTTCAATATATGTCCTAAATACACTGATCAAAGGCCCCATTTTCTTTGATGGAGCGATAATATTGTATATAATTCCGTGAAGGCCTATAATTTATTTGTTAATATAAAGGAAAAATAGATACACATACATATTTATCATACAACAATTTTTAATTAATATCTGTAAGAAGAATTGCGGTTTACTAACAAATAAAATCTTTGCAAATTTTTTATGCTCTCCAAGGAGTTATCCAGGAGGAAGCAGACAATCTGCTAGGCATCTAGAACTTTCGAACACACCGCCTTCATCCTTCCCCTCAGGAAATATCCTCCCAATCAACTAGAACAGAATTGAGATAGTCTCTAGGAGAAATTGATGACATCATTCCAAAATACATACACAAAGTTCTTCCATAAACTTGAAGGTAAGCAGAGCAGGAGGTTTGAGCATCTAGTAGCAAGAGGAGAATCAATTGAATATAAGCTAATCCACCACATTGCTCAATACAAAGTTGATCTAGTGCAAACGCTTGCTCCGTCCTCATTATCCTGTTAGTAACCAATCCCAACTGAAGAGATACTTGCTTTAGTCGAAGCCCCAGAAGAACCAATTATTCTTCCTACATCAGCCAAAAGAAAGCTGTACTTGATGTTGACTATCAAGTTACAGACGAGAATGAAGATGAATTAATAATATTTAAGAGGAGGAGGGATGAGAAGAAGTAGGGAATACAAGGGCAGGGAGATGCTGATCAGTAAAGAGAAGCAACTGTTTTTGGATGAATGTTTTATTAAGTTCATTGACAAGTAAGTTAACTCTGCAACACTATGTTATTTACTTCATTTTTGTTGCATATTTATTTTGTTTTTATTACATATTTATTGCATTTTTTGTTGCATATTTTCTGTATATTTAATGCATATTTTATGTGTATTTATTGCATTTTACTACGTATTTTATGTGTTTTTCAGTGTATTTCATGCATATTTTCTTCATTACAGGTCTGATCAAATATTCTCTTATGGGAACATCTCAATAACTAGAGTTGATGTTAATGAAATTGTACAAGCTAGATAAATACTTTAACAATAATCATGTAGATTCATTCACCCTACTGTTACATGAGAAGAATAAACTTAGCCCTCACAATGTAATAAATAATGCATTAGGTTAGTACGTATACACGTAATAAATAATTTATATATAATATGTTTAACTGTTTCATTTTCCATACCCTTATTGACTTCTTATAGAATTACAAGCAATTCTACCAAACTGTGAATTTGTTTGTCAAACATATCACTAATTTGCTATTAAGTCATGCGACCTTCTACTTCAACCAATTATTCACAGTGATCATTGGACCCTTCTGGTTGCGATGTTGAAGGAAGAGAAATAGAAATTTTACGATTTTTTGCCCAACCCCCAGTATAAGCAAATTCTTCAAAAGATCATAAGTGAGAGAGCAAGTGTTAAATTTTTCAAAAGTTAGTAGTCAACCCATATATGTTTGTTGTATTATTCAGATTAAAAAATTACATTGTGGCATGAAGGGAACTTTTGATAATAATATAAGACAATGGAAGGTCCTGCCTATCTGTGGTGTGCCAACTCAGAATAACAGTATCGATTACGGAATGTTTGTTTACAAATATAAGAAAAAGATTGTTCTTGAAGGCAACACAAATTGTGTTAAAACTAAAAATTGGCTAAAAGAAATACCAAAATATAGAGCATATTTCATACACGTACTGTTTTGTTCATCATTGAAATAAACTTTTTTTGTACATAGGTTTTTACTTGGTCTTTGATTAATTATATTATGTGAAATAAAAAAAAACTATAAAATTATTTATATATGAAAATTCAAGAAAATTTAATTTTATACGTAGCAGATACACAACATATAGATAATTGATATGCATCAAATACATAGCCGATACGCAACAATACGCTTCAGATACGTAGTAGATACGCAATCGTTGCAATATAATTTTTACAAGTTTTGTAAAATAGAACCTGTACAATACACAGATGTTTTTATTTTCTTTAATGAAAAAATTTTATACAAAATTTTACTGTCTTTAATTATTTTTTCTATAAAATAAAACTTGTATATTATGTAAAATATAAAAAATGTAAAATTATTTACTCATGCAAATTTAAAATAAATTTATTTCAAAACGCATCAAATACACAATAAATATGCATCAAATATGCAATGAATACACAATAAACACACATTAAATACGTATTAATAATGTTATATATACATTTTCAGACAAATAATGTTTTTATGACTCTTATAAATTTTATAAAAATATGCCCAATAATTCATTTTAAATAAAATTACCTCCAATGATTTATTCTTTAGATTCATAAATCATTTGAAAGTAATTTGAAACGATTTCAAATTTGACATTATTCAAACTCAATTATAAGTTTCTTAAACCCTAAACCCGAAGAACATCTCTCCTCTCCACAATTACTCCCATCGATATCCGCCCACCCCAAGAGCTATACATCAACTCCGCTTCTCCTCTAAATGTCATCGACAGTCGATCGCTCCCCCGCAACAACCCCCTGCATGAACTCATCTTCTCCTTCAAATATCATCGAACCCATCAATTGCCACCTCCACCAAGCTCCCATAAAAAAACTAATCTTCTCCATTACAAGTAGCTCTAGCTTGAACTACTCTTCACCATCACACATCAATAGTTGCCCCAACAACAAGCTCCCAAACAAACTTCCACCATGACAACCCTGGTCCTAATTCAAACCCAAGTTCAAGCCTAACTTAAGGCGACGGTTCGGCTCAAATCAAGTTTGAATCAATTAAAATTCAAATTAGTTTAAACAAATTTCAAATGTTTTTTTTTTACTTCAATAAGCAATTTGCAAATATTTGCAATAATCTCATCCAAAAATGGACTTATGGGCATAATGAATATATTTAACGAATTACATGCATACCAAAACATACAAAATCAACTTTTCATATATAGGTTAAGGTTTAGTTTGGGACGGCTTTCTTACTACTTCTTAAAACAGATTTCTAGTTCAAAAATTAAAACTTTTGTACAAGAAAGATGATTTAAGAAGCAGTAAGAAAGCCGTCCCAAACAAGGCCTAAGGCTTCGATTCGGACAGCTTTTTTATGGCTTCTTAAAGCAACATTTTAGTATAAAAATTAATTTTTTTTACTAGAAAGCTGCTTTAAGAAGCAATAAAAAAGTCGTCCCAAACGAAATCTAAACATGAAAAAAAAAAAAAAAAAAAAACTAAATCAAAGTCACTCCAGAAATACAAGGAAAATAAAAAATATCCTGCTGCTTCATGATATCATAATGTCAAGTGGCAAAGTCCAGATTTCAGCAAGAACACTGAAAAGATAAAACATTCTTGAATAAGATTCGACAATAATGAACATGAGATCAAAATGTTATATTTTAGGCAGAATCTTCAGCCTCTTCAGTTGTAAGGCTTCGTTTGGGATGTATTTCTGCTTTTTAGTACAAAAGATTTTTGTATTAAAAACTGTTTTAAAAAGCACTAAGAAAGCTGTCCCAAACAAAACATAAATCTCTTGAGAAAATTAAAACTACTTTCTAGATCATGATTCTTCGTCGCTATCATTGCCGAACACTGATGTAACCTTTACAGCTATCTTTGCCTTCTTAGCAGCAGTAGCAGCAGGGTTCTGGAGGGAAGTCAGTTGAGAGAAATAATTCAATCAGAACTCCGAAATTTTAAGTAAAATTATCTTAAATTAAGCAATTTACATAGGAATTTAACATAATTAATGAAATATTTCTACATCAAACTTTATCATGTGTATGTAGAATTTAACTAAAAAAAAAATCTCATTTTGGCTTCATTTGAGATGACTTTCTTTTCGCTTCTTAAAGCAATTTTCTAGTACAAAAATTTTAGGAAAATGCTTTAAGAAGCTGAAAGAAAGCTGTCCCAAACAAAGCCTAATTTAAGATGTTAAACCTATTATTCATAAACCACTTTGAATAACTTAAGTCAATCAACTCTCCTTCCTAATCCTTATACACTAATTTTCTGCTTATTTAAGACAAATTATAATATATACAACAATGTCATTCAATAGTGCGATTAAATTAATATTATCTCACTTAAACGTTGCAATGCTATTTAGAAACAATTAATAATTATTAAGACTTTTCTTTTTTGTTTTTAAAATGTCAAGATTGAGATAATCTACATAGTATCTAATTTGATTGTTCTTTAGATTCCCTCTACCTTAGACTACTAATGTTATCCGGACTATCTCATTGTGAAGAAATTATTCTGTGCAGACACCGGATCATTCGGAGACGAATGAGAGCGTGCCACGTCACCAGGTACACATCACAGGTACACAGCAAAAAAGTGATGTGGCTCGCTCTCATTCGTCTCCGAACGGTGTCTGGTGTCCACACGAAATAATTAATCCTCATTGTGAGAGAAAATGTAAAACCGAACATCTCATACTAACAAATAACAGAGCATTGCATCAATCAAAACATTAAACCAACAACCGCTTAGTCTATTTTTAATTACTGTATCTTCAATAGATATCATTCCAACCATCACTTTAATATAATCATTCATTAATTTAACTTTTCTTATTTTATACGATATCATAATGGCAATTCTATAAAATTTTCTTTAAATATCTATAATATCCTCTCATCACATAATACTTATGAGACAATTCTTCATTTTAACAACATAGCCTTAACTCTATAAATTATACCCACATTTTTCATATGATAAATAAAAACTTCTTAAATCTATCACACCATGATATCATTTTAATCACCTAATAATTCACTAGCATCCCAACATACACGTTATTATAAAGTAGCACATGGACCAAGTGGAAGCAAAACAGCTAAAAGCAGCAATTCACGTAAAGTATACAGTACAAGAAGATTAATAACTAGACATTTGAAAAGTCTTCAACCTCGGCATAAAATACTATCAAGACAAGATAACCTCATTGCCTGAATCCTTAGGAGGCCCTTCAAGGCAATATTGTGTAATAATGCATGCATAAGAAGCAAGGCTAATTATCTCATTCAAAGTACTAAGTTAGCCATGCAAGACTTGAATATTAATTTGGATATACTTCTATCAATTTTCAATATGATTTAATCTTTCATTGAGCATGTATGGAAAATGTGAAAATTTTCTGAAGGCCTATAGAAGCCCTCTTAAAAATTCACATAAAATGTAATTTGCAAGAAAAAAAAAACTATATAGTATTTTCTAGAATGAAGAACCTATGTATTAAACTATATCAAGTGATAGGCAACTTGCAACAAAAATCACAAAGATCCTCTCAAAACTCTTGGTCAAGAAACTTTTGACGCATTCAATGAATGATCAAATTACCTTTAAAATGCATGAAATTATCTATGCTGCTAGTTTTCACATTGCACAAAAGAATGGCGGACTTGGATCTTATTTTTGAAGCCATATAAAAAATATTTAGATGAGTGGAGAATGTTCATTTTCTTCCTAAGAGACGACAAGTTTATCCAATATATCAAGCTACCTGAGGTTTCAAATTGTTTCCAATACTCTCTACTCCATATCAACCTGAGACGAACTAAATCTACTATGAATCGATCCTATTAAAGTGATAAATATTTCAACAGTTTTCAACAAACTTAACAGCCATGAATATATCGTAATTATTGACAGCAATTAATATATCATAATTGTTGCACCCAAAATATAATGTTAATAACATTAAAGACAACCAAACAACTGATTTTCGTATACAACTCTACCCCCAAAATCCAACTTATGTTAGAAGAGGTAGGGATGGGTCAGGATTATGGTTTGCAAGGAAAGAATAACCCTTGATGAAAACTAATGATAGAGATATTGTTTCCTCCTGAATCATTGAAGCTGCAACCCTTGCCTACATTGAGGCAATGTCAAAGAAATCTTTGACTATGATGGCTTATTTAATTGCTTGAAGTTATAAAGCAAGTTCTGAAAAAAAGGCAGAGTTTACAATATCCCAGCATTTGGGTGAATACAACAACAACATCAAGCCTTTATCCCATACGTCGGGTCAGCAACATGGATCTTTTTTCTTCAAAGTGTCGTGTTAAGAGTCAAGTTCTCATTCAAATCTAATAAAAAAGTCATTTTCAATTCCTTCTACCAAGTCTTTTTAGATCTACCTCTATCTTTCTTAACATAGGTCAAATCTAATACATCTATTCTCCTCATCAGGTCATCAAAAGGGCGATGTTTTATGTCACCTAACTATCTAAGGCGACTCTCTTTAATCTTATATGTCATTGGAACTACTACAACCTTTTCACGTATATACTCATATCATATTGTCACTAAGAGTAAAGCAACTCATCCACCTGAGCATCCTCATCTCTGCAACACTTAATTTTATGCTTCTCTTTCAATGGCAAACATTTTGCACCATAAAGCATTGCAAGTCTTAGCGCCATCTTATATATATACTTTTTTTTATTAAGTTTGAGATGTACTTTTCTATCACACAACAGGTACGATGCATTCCTTCACTTCAACCATCCAACTTAAATTCTACTAATAATATGCCCATCAATGAACAATAGATCCAAGATATCTAAAACATGTATTTTTTTTAATGACTTGATCAATCAAAATCACATTCGCATGAATGTAATTAGAAATTGGCATATAGATTTTAAACTCTACTAACACCTTCAAATTCCCTACAAAAAGAGGATTTCAATTTCACATTTAAAATGAGTATAAGCAAATTCATCACTTTCTACAGCATACTTTCCATCTACAAGCATCCAAATGAGACCAATGAAAGATCTACACAATTAATTATTCATCCTCAACTTGGAATCACATTCTAGATATCATATGACATGTTTCGCCATATTGAAAGTCTCAATTGATTTATGTAGTTATATATATATATATATATATATATATCCCAAATGTTTCATTAATTGAAAGTAGTATATAAAGATGGTTACAAATGGAATTCTATGCATGAAGGTAGTGAATATTTAGTTTAAAAGTCACAAGTCGGAGTTAAACAAATAACCAAAATTTCTATTAGCTTGAAAAAATAAAAATATTAGAAAGACCATTGATAAAAAAGACGGTTGAAATCAATTTAAACATAGTTCTTTAAACTCTACCAGTTCTTAAGATATATTACAAGCCCATTGCAGGTCACAAATAACCTAGGGTTTAAAAAAAATTTAAAATTTTCCATAACGGAAAAGTTGAAATTATGGTTAGAAGATAAAGAGGCTTAGATTTAGAAAAAATATTCATTACATAATATCTAATTGTAATGGGACATCAATCAGTGAACATGATGGAGGACCAACGGAAACCTAAATGTGATAGATGAAGATATTCTAGATAGATCATTTCAAAGAATACAATAACAAAAACATCAGGCCTTTATCCTACTATATGAGGTCAACTACATGAATCCTTTTTCTCCATTATGCCATGTTAAAAGTTAAATTCTCATTTAAATCTAATAAAGAAATGTCATTTCTAATATTTTATAACCAAGCCTTTTTAACGTCTACCTCTACCTTTCTTAACATAAGTCAAATCTAATACATTTACTTTCCTAATCGGGTCATCGGAAGGCCATCGTTTTATGTGACCAAACCATCTAAGGCTACTCTCTCTAATCTTATCTTCCATTGGAGCTACTACATTTTCACGTATATGCTCATTTCATATCCTGTCTCTAAAGAGTAAAGCCGCTCATCCACCGAAGCATTCTCATCTCTACAACAATTAACTTAAAATTATGCTTCACTTTTAATGGCCAACATTCTGCACTATAAAGCATTGCAAGTCTAAGTTCTATCCTATAGAATTTTTTCTTAAATTTGAGGGAGATTTTTCTATCACACAACATGCCTGATGCATTCCTCCACTTTAACCATCCAACTTGAATTCTACTAATAATATCCCCATCTATTTAACCATCACTGTGAATGATAGATCCAAGTTATCTAAAACGTGTACTCTCATTAATGACTTGATCACCCAAAGTCACAATCTCCCAACAAGAACTATTATTACTAAAATACATTCAATGTATTCATTTTTAGATCTATTCAAACAAAAGTCTTTAGACTCTAAGGTTGACCTCCATAATTCAAGTTTACCTTCAACTTCCTCCCTAATTTTATCAACAAGAAAAATATCATCAGCAAAAAGTATACACCAGGGTACAACCTCTTGCAAATGTCTAGTGAGAACATCCATGACTAAAGCGAAAAGATATGAGCTTAAGGCTAATCCTTGATGTAATCCAACTGAAATAGGAAAATATTTGGTCAAACCACCTTGTGTTGAACATAAGTAACAGCTCATGCATACATATCCTTAATAATATAAGCATTATTAACCAATTGCTTTTCTAGAACTCTCCACAGCACATCTCTTGGAACTTTATCATATACTTTCTCTAAATCAATAAATATCATATGTAGATCCTCCTCATTCTCTCTATACTTCTCCATCAAATCTCTCAATAAATGTATATCTTCCATAGTTGACTTACCCGACATGAATCCAAATTAATTTAGAAACATTAGTATCACCCCGCAACCTATGCTCCATAACTCTCCCATGGATCATTTCAAAGAATCTGATAAAAATAATTATTCAAATTTTAGAAACAAAAAAATCACTCCAACTAAGTTAAGTGAAGCAAAAAAGAGCAGAACTAGGATGGCTGAATGAGAAACTAGGAACAATAGAATACATAATGACTATATTATAGAGAGTGGGAATAAGACTTGAATGAAGCTTAGTTTACACAGTAACTTGAGGTGATTTAGCTATAAATTAGAGTAGAAAATGCACCAATAAGATGAGAATAAAGAATTAACATAGAAAACAAATGGATTTAAAGTAGACCAAAGGTAAAATGGTTCAGAGTTGCAAGAAAATTTAAGCATGGTAGAGTTATCACCCACTACTAAATGGAAATGAAAAAGATATATAAAGCTGATTCTAAATAGTAGGGATAAGATTCATGATGAGAAAGAATAAGCCTATCCATCTAGAGCCACAAATAATGCCCTATTTGCATTCAGGATGATGGATTATGCCATGTGAACAACCAAATTAGTTTTTGGAAATTAATTAAAGCATGCTGCAATTTTTTTCACATCATTGAATCATCATTATTAGCATTATATTTATCCCAGGTATTCGGAGTTTGGATGTTGTGAATCCTCCTCCTACTCCTTTTCTTGTTAAGTGCATCATCATCATCATCATCATCATCATCATCATCAACACCTCAAATGAAAACAACAAGAAAGTATGAAAGATTCATAAGGCCAACCGAAATAGTTGTGGTATTCAAGGGATCAAATGTATTTTACACGACTTCTAGTCATATAATTTTTGGTATATTTCATTTCCTTCAAGATCCTTCAATATTAATATTATCTATCAATATTACTGATGGAAATTACATGCCCTACATGCTTAAATCACCTTAGTCTATTTTCTACTATCTTATTCCCATATTGTCACAAATATAAAAACTATAATAAGCATAAAACAGTTTAATATGACCTGCTGATGTGGAAAGTTGAACAGGTTTTTCTTTAATTTCGTAAGTAATAGAAATGAGAGATTCTGCATCCTCAATTCTAATCTCTAATAGGTTGATAACTCAGAACTACAACAACAACAACAACATCAAGCCTTTATCCCACTACATGGGGTCGGCTGCATGAATCTTTTTTCTCCATTGTGTCCTATTAAAAGTCAAATTCTCGTTAAAATTTAATAAAGAAATATCATTTCTAATATTTTTTAACCAAGCCTTTTTAGGTCTGCCACTACCTTTCTTAACATAAGTCAAATCTAATACCTCTACTTTCCTAACCGGGTCATCGGAAAAAAAAGAGAGAATAATTTTTATTTCTGAGCGAAACAAAAAACTAACAGAAGAAGGAAGCATAATAGAGACATAATAAACTACATCCTTAATGACCTTAGTAGATCCAAGCTTTGAAGTGAACCCAAACTTCAAGGTCTGTCTTTGATCATTAACTGGAGTTGCATTTCCTCCCTTGCTTGAATCAGTTGGGACCTCACTCTGTTCTTGAAGCTGCTCATGCTGTCTTCTGCGAGCATCTGCCCTGCAGAGACGTATAATCTTTGTTAAAATGTACCCAATTATACCACTAAATGTCATAACAGCTTAGAGCTTGCTTATAATTGCAAAATATAAGTAAAAAAATACCGTAATGGTAAACGTACATTTGAGCAGCAAACTTGGCCACCTCTTTTTCTTGACGCAATTGCTCCTTTTTTTGCCTATCATCGCGACTGCTGCTAGCACGCATATCTCTCATTTCCTTAAACCGCTGTGATGGAAGAAAATATTAAGAAAGGAAAATCATGAGTTTGATTGCATAAGGATTGCTTCTTGTTTTCTCAAAAAGTATGGACATTGAAAAGAACCGCGATTCCCTAACTGCGTCAATAGAATACAATCTGTATAATGATACAAGAAATTCCATTGGAAGATAATTTAACTTCAAAATGATAAAAAATGGTAGTTAGTTTAAATGTTCAATGGATCACTTGCGCCCCTAGAACAAAGGGACAAAAATGAAGCAGAGAAGGAGCCCGGTCAACAGCCATAGATGGAGAGAAATGCACGGCAACTTTCAAAAAGTGAGGTGTTTATCCTGGCGTTTAGTTTACCATTACATAAGCTCCATAAATTTGATAGGAAGCACTTGTAGATTTCAAATATTTCCTATCAATCTTCAGAAAACAATGAAAATCCTCCACAAGAATCCACACAAAACCAAGAAAACAGTAGAAAATTTTTATTATTTGATGAACGAGAAATGGAAAATAACAAGATACAATTGATCCTCAATTCTAGAGGAGGATTGATCTCTCCCAAATCTCTAGATGCCGCTAGAGCCCAAAGAAAACCTAAATCTAGGAGATCTCAAATTTCAGCCAATTTCAAGATGCCCTAACCCTAGAAAAACAAACTATTTAATGCATATAATTCAAAAGGAATTCTCTAAACAACCCCTACTTTGAAATTTCCCTCCAAACTCCCTCCAAAAACCTTCCTAAACAGCTCACAAGTGAACTAGCGGTCAGCTCATGCGTACAGGAGGCGAAAATCTCCGCCAGTTTTGCGTAAGCCGGTCCCGTCGGACCGGTCCGAGACCGGCTGGACCAGTCCAGGACCAGCTGGACCAGTCTAACAAAATTTTCTAGATTATTGGTTGAAGGGATCAATAAATTTCAATTATCTGTTTTTAAAAATATAAAAGGAAAAAAAAAAGAACTTTTTGGAAATTAAAGATATTGCATTTCCCTCAAGTGAGAGAGGATACACACCTTTCTATGGTTGTGGTCATATGAACTCAGATGTGCTTCAAATTCCACCGCCAACTTATACTGCTTGTTGCAGAGATTGCAAAAGAACACCTTCTTTATTTCCTTCACTTCGGTTTGGATTTTTTGCTCACGCTCTGCTATAACCTGGATTGTCATCATTTGCACGAAGCAGGCAGTAGAAGCCACCAGATAATAAAAATTGCACGAAAAGCTCAAGACCTTCGAAAGTTGATGTTGGCTTACACATCATTCCCGTCAAAAGATATGCTATATGCTGCCTACTACTAGATTTAAGTTTCAAAAGTCAAGCCAGAACATCAATGCAGATGATATGAATTGTAAGGTAATCAGTCTTCAAAGACATACCTCACGCTTCTTAGCAAGCTCCTCAGTCTCCTCAAGTTCAACTTCCAGTCTCCTCCTCTGGACATTCTCTTCAGCTGTAAAAAAGTCATCTTGTTCCTGTTTCCCCACACCTAATTTTGGATCCCGGATGCCTGCTTTTATTGGTTCAACTATGCCTACAATCCACATGAAATTGGTATAATCGATCAAATATATGATAGAACATAAAAAAGTGTATAGTATATTGAGTTCAATTATGTGTAAAACAGATAAGAAAGCATCTAAAAGACAGGAAACAAATAAGCAAAACACATAAATGGGCCATTGGAAGAATAAATTAAGGAAAAATCATACTGGAGTACATTATAAAGCTAATGATTCTCAAATGCAAACAAAGGAGAGATGTCATTTCATAGCATTTGCAAAAAGGTCTACCCAAAACAACTTAACAAATTAAGAAACCAAATAAAAACAATGGATAAACTAAATCAATTAATCAATATTGTCAGATATAATATTATCACAACCATCTGCTATATTACAATCGTCTTCTTTAAGATAAACCTTCAATGAAATTAAGCCTCTTTGAATGAAAACAATTGCAGATATGACTATTCTCATAGAAAAAAATAATAATAATAACAATAAAATATTACTATTCTCATAATAAATAGATATATTCATATAAAAAACCCTCAATTGCGTAACTTTCACAACTTAAATTTATCTCAACGCCTTTGAAATATTAATAATTCCATTTTCAACATAAAATAGTAGCTTAACTCATTCAACACTGATAAAAAATAGCAACTTAATTTATTAAAATATAATATTTTAATAAATAAAGCTGCTTAATTTATATCATCAGTGCATTATAAAGCTAATGCTGATGATGGGGATGACTTTGAGTACATTGTAAGAATATGCACAAAAAATTTACAGAACCAAATAGCACAATGGAGGAACTAAATATATATTTTCAGATATAATATTATTACAATCAGTTCATGTAAAGAAAATTTTTCAAAGAAATGATACCTCTTTGTATGAAAATAAATGCAGATATGACTAGGGGTGTCAAAATTGGGTTTCAGGTCGGGTTCAGGTCGAACCCGACATTGACCCGCCGCTGGTTGACACAACTTGAACCCAACCCAGAGCCCCGACCCATCGTGTTTTCGGGTTGACCCGACCCGACCCAACACAAAACGCCGAAGCCAACAGGAAGGAATGTTGTTGAAACTTGAAGGAGGCGAGCTATCATGACTTCCGAGCCGACAAGTAGGAACGTCATTGAAGGAGGTGAGCTCTCGTGACTTTCGAGCCGACGTGAAGGAACGTCGTCGAAGGAGGCGAGTTGTTCGCCTATTTGTGGATTTCGAGGCAACGACAAAGGAATGTTGTTGAAGGAGGCAAGTTGTTCGTGACTTTCAAACTGATAGGAAGTGATGTGAAGTTATGTCGTCGAAGGAAGGTTGCTCACTTGCTCGACTCGCTCCGTCGTGGGTCGCTGAGCGGGGACTGCGGAAGAGGAAAAGCAAACCCAATGCTTGCAGCACCTTGCGAGCAGAGTTGCCGAACCAGCTTAGCAGGTTGATCCGAGTCAACTCCGGGTTAGCGAGTTGACTCGGACCCGACTCGTTTTTTCAAACGGGTCAAATCCTGGAACCCAAACCCAACCCATTTGCAAAACGGGCTGACCCTAACCCATAATTTTTGAGTCGGATTCGGGTCATGTTTTCGGGGCATGTCAAATATTGACACACCCCTAGATATGACCATCCACATAGAATTTTACTAAATAGCTATATTCTTACATAAAACTCTCCATAACATACGTTTCCTAACTTAAATTTATCTTAAGAACTTCTCAAATGTTAATATTTTCATTTTCAACAAAAGATAACAGCTTATTTCATCCAAGGTTTATCAAAAGAATAGCAACATAATTTATTAAAAATAAAATACTTCAGAAACTAGTCAAATAAGAATTTTTTAGCAAAAAGGTGTAAAAGGGCAGAGGATAATAAATGACAATTACATGTAAATAACCTACAAAAAAAATTCTGACAAAAATAAAATTTAAAGCAACCTCATATTAAAAAAATTCCATGGCAAAAAGCAGACCAAAGCTACTGAAATATCAGAAAAGAAAATAGGAAATAACAAATAACAAAAATTAGCATACCTTGCTCATCTTTGCCAAGGCCCTTGCCTTTCCATCCCATCTTCTGTAGAAGCCTATAACCTATGTTCGATGATGTGAGTTGTGTATCCAGGGATGCTTGCTCAAGGTCATCTATTATAAGGTTCTCCACAGGTCTGTGATTGATTGGCAAACGAAAATCTTCAACTGAATCTTTAACAGAGAAATCTAGATGTGCCTATAATATGAATACAAAATCAGACACAATTCACTTTAGTAATCAATACACACATATTAGCATCAAAGGCAAACAAGCTGACCACTGGCATACACGAAGACAGTAAAACTCAAGGCAAAAAAATTACCCTCAGCTAAAGCATAACGCAATACCTCTGCTAAAGGAATAGTTACCTCCTCCCCTTCTCTTTGTTGTCCTACTTGTCTGAATGGCCCTCCTGTTAGCTTAAATCTTTGACCATCCATTCAAATAAACTAAACGAGATAAACAATAAAAAACAATATATTAGAGGTAGACCTAAACAAAGATGCAACAAAAGGTGACAGGTAAAAAAAACATAATACAAAATAGAAACCATTACCATCCAGACACCCTACTAAACACTGCATTGACTTTGAAAAAGGTTTAAACAATAGACATCTTTCGCCAATAGACATCTTTCGCATTATAAACGGCCCATAAGACCATGAATCATAATATTAAGAACGGAAAATTCAAACAAAAAGTGTCAATCCCAAGAAGAGATCAATCAATAAGGTCAATCGGACATATCCTTTGGATATAAAGCTTATATGGCTCAACCAACTAAATCTAACTCAAACGAATGTTTGAGGAGAGCTAACAAGGTTAAAATCTTCAAGGACGTTCATCAGGCAATCTATTTAGTATAGAAACCTATAGGGTAAAATCATTTGTCCACGTATAATGATTAATTTAGAGAATGATTAGTTGAACAGTATGATAGCCATGAGACTAATTGATGGGGACATCGGATCATGAAAAGTTTATCAAAGACAGGGGCGACGATCTACAGCTACGATCGTGCCTCTTTGTTTTTGATCTATTTTATGTATTTGATTTATTATTGGTCTTTTTTTCTTTTCTACCCTCACTTGAGGGCTTTGTCTTATGTATGCCCTAGGGACAATAGTGTCTTTGTTATTTCCCTTCATGTATTTAACTATTTAAAGCCACCCACTTCCTTGGGAGAGGTTAATGAATGAATATTATGAAAATTCTTGCACTTGTGTGTTTTGAGAGGGTTTGAGAGTTCTTGGAGAGAGCTTTGGAGAAATCCCTAGTAAGGGATTATGGATCACCCACCACCTTGGAGACGGCCGAGTTCGTGGTTTGTTTTATCGTTCTTTTTTGTTCTTTCAATCTCCTTTCGCCCTAGCCGTCAGATTCCCTAGCTACCTCACACCTCACCCGCAGGCTCTCCACTCTACAACAAGCCCTCCTCCGGCCAACATCCCTTTCCCCACCCCATCTAGCCGCCGGCCACTCAAGGAGGCTCTTCCCTTGTTTGGTTAATTCATTCAATTCCCACCCCCACCTAACCCTAACCCTAACCTTAGTCCAAGCCGCCAGCCATCCCTCCCAATTTCCTTTGCCTCCAAATTTCAAAACCCTTTCATTACTTTCCTTTTCCATCAAACTTAATTTGGAAAGTCTTGATTTCAATTTGTTTAATCTAATTTGAATTTTGAAAACTTTTCAAATTTATAATCTTATTTTAGGAAAGTTTTAAAATTAAATCTTATTTGAATTCAAATCAAATTAGATTTAATTAAATCCCTCCTAACTTCAAGTTCCAAAACTAGAAACCCAACTCCCTTCCACGATTCCCTCCCTCATCTTGCACCCGCCGGCCCCCTCTACCTCCAATTTCCTTGATTTCATCCCAAATCTACTCTCCAATTAATCCCCTAAGCCTTCTTAGCCTTAGACTCCTCCCCCAAACCTTCATCTTCATGGTTTACCTCTGTTTCCTGAAGCTGTGATGTGCTGTCCTGATCTCTGTAAAAGATACGTCTGCTGTCCAAGAAGTCCAGCCCACTCCACCCCTGTCCAGAGGAATATCGGTTGCTGTCCAGAACAGATTTCTGCATTCTGGACAGATTCTACCTGCTGTCCTGAAGTTTAGACACAGTAAACTACTGTCCTGCATATCCATAATCGACTTCCTGCTGTACTGAGCGTTCCCAACCCCAGCCCAGCTGCTCCAGCCAAAGAATTTCACTGTCCAGGAGTCTCAACCTCGGGTAATTACTACTTCCTCCCCACCGAATCAATACTTCTTTAAGACTCACTTTAGTTTGTGGAAATTGATCAAGTCATGCAAATTGTTTTAACTTAACCACCAAGCCTAGTAATCGTAGGGAGTTGATTAATGGACTTGTTTCATATTGACTATTCTTATTGTTAATCCAGGGATTTTAGTTGAACATCTTCCATGCAAATGTTGCTTGATTAATTGATTATTGTGGTGACTCTAATTCTAGCTACGCGACTTGGCCTAAACTTGTTTGACCGCTCATTGTGTTTTATTTTGTTGTTTAAATCCAACATAAAGTTATAATCAACTTGCTCTTGGAATAGAGGCGTGCAAGATCCTCATTTCCATTATCTTTTAAATTACGTCCTGCACACTAATTCCTATCTTTTGAAGTCCTATCTCATGAAATTAAAGCAAGACTTAGAAACAAATTGTTCTCCCCATGATTGTCGCTCTATATCATATCAATGCTGGTGTGAGTTCCAGGCATGAGTTCCACCTTTCATCCTCATTTAATGCAATCAATTTAATGACTTCAAAGTTCAAACCAGTCTATAAACATAGCCATCGCTACCATTTCAAATCTAGAAATTATAATGCGTGTGCTTAGAAAATTGTTAGGCCGGTACAACCTGAACCGGCCCAACCGTCCCAAAGATCGGCTCAGCTCTACAAGAGGCGAACAAGTGCCGCCTCCCTTTCTTCTTGCCGCCCAAACTAGTGGGCCCCACTAGGAGAAAATTATGGAAAGAGGGTTGAGGGGCTAGGGTGAGAGGGAATTTTTTAATTAAGGATGTTTGAATTAGGGAATTAATGTATTAATAGTATGGCTTGTTTAAGGTTAGGATTATGCATGATTTAAGTTGTTCTCTTGGAGTCTCCTTGGTGTCTTGGGCTCTAGATTCACAATCTAGAGATTTGGGAGAGACGATCCTCCTCTCGAATTGAGAATCAATTGTATCTAGCTTGGAGTTTGTTTATTTTGATTCTTCTATAGCAATCTATCGCTCTTGAATTGATTTCATCCAGATTTTTCTTGCTTTCTCGATGTTTTGGGCCAATTATTGCTAGGGTTGCTTGCGGACTCAAGTATTTCCTCTTGGATTACTTGCGAACTCAAGTATTTCCTATCAAAAACATCTAAGACCCGATTTGAGACCAACAAGTTCTGCCATATTACCAGTAGTACCAATCTTCTTGCAAGTTATCCTATTATAATCTATATGCGATAAGGACCAAAATTAGGGTTGTAAAGGAACCATGCTTTAGTTTCTCTCTAAGTCTTGTAGTTGTGCAAAGGCTTTCCCTAAGTTGCAAATAGACTTTCCATATCATGCTAAAAAGGCACGATATGATAGGATTGATTGAGGATCTTAATGAGAACAACTTGACGATAGACTTTCCATCTCACAAGATCCCATCTACTATTAACACAAGGTTTTGACAGGGATGTCCCTGTACTCTCTTAAATAAACAGATATAAAGCTTCAATGATAAAATGGAGATGACAGGGATGTCCCTGTACTCTCTTAAATAAACAGATATAAAGCTTCAATGATAAAATGGAGACTACGCGAAATTATGAGCTATCTAAAAAGCTATGAAAAGTTATTCAAAAGGACAAAGTAACTCTTTGTTGAAAATCAACGAATCTATCAAGCTAAACTTCCAAAGATCACCATGCAAACAATACACAAGGTAGACACATTCAATGTGGCAGTGACTTGAGCCTTCTGTTGGTAAATTTACCTCTTTTTTCTCAGAGCGGCTAAAAATAATCGGTATTAGCTAATCGCAAGGATCAATTTTGAAAATAAAATGTTAAGCATCAGACAATTATTTGAATCTTATATGTCAAGAACATTCCTAGCTAGCCTACTCTTCATTGCTTTAGTTTAGGTGTTACCACTATCTAAACCATCTGCAATAAGGCCTGAAGAGCTTAACAACAACCACCAATCTTTCAAGTTTATCCTACACTAACTCCAAGAAAAAATAAACATTCTAGATATATCATGGACGAAGTGCTAAAAAAATGAAAAAAGGAGGCAATTCTCCCCACTCTTACCCCATAATTAACCAAAAACTCAACATCGCCAAGGGGAAAACAGTTTCATAAATGAAAGATACTACACTTCTTCTGAATCCGTAAATCTGATAAGAATATATAAATACTAAAGAAAATTTGCCTCCTCCAGACTCCGATCTCTGGTGCACAAGATTAACATAAACCAGCTATCACAACAGAATCAGAAAAATGTCACTATCGTCTACTCCATTAACCTAAAGCTAAAAATCTGCTTTTTCCGGATAAATCATGCAAGAACAACAAACAAATACATCATATTCTAGCAAAAGAAGATCACTTGTATAGAAAGCGTGCCGCGATCAAACCATAAAAATCAATTCAAACCCTCCAACTCACCTCTGCCGCGTCTAATCCGCGAGATCAACGGAGATATATAGATACAAAATGAAGGTAAGCACCACCGGGTGAAAAGGAAGCCGCCGCTCGTGCCTCCGAAGCAAGCCGGGATCGCTGGCGATGAAAGGGTTCGGAAGGATGACCTCAGCCTATGTTTGCGCTTAGATTTTTCTAATAATAGAAGCTGCCGAGAAAAAGGGGGACTTTGGGATAGATTTGTAACAATTTTTAGGGTAAGATGTTGTTGATTTGTAGAGAAATTATTCTATATAGAGTCTATCATAGATCAATCAGAATGTGTCACGTCATATGATATCTAGACGTGATACTGAGTAATATTAATTGAGGTTCCGAACAAATAGGTGACGTGGCACATTCTAATTGGTCTCCGGATGACGCTTGACGTCCGCACAGAATAATTAATCTGATTTATGAAACATGAAGTATCATAACTTTTTAAAAGAAGATTTACTTGTATTGCATCTAAGATTTAATTATTTACATATATAATATCTAAAATTAATAATATACACTCCTCGTGTCCTAAAACTCTTATTCTATGTCATCTCGCACTTCGTTCCTTCTCTGTAACATGTGCGCGTACCAGCACCCATTCATTCACAGGTAGGGGTGTCAATTTCAGGTCACGGGTCGAGTTCGGGTCGAACCCGAAACTGACCGGCACTATTCGGGTCAACCCGAACCAGACCATTTTTTAAAAACGAGTCAATTTTCCTGACCCGAACCCGACCCGCTTTTGGTCCGGGTCAACCTGACACGACCGAATGACCCGTTTCCAAAAAAAGCTAGTTTTCGGGTCAAAAAACAGGTCTATCTCCTCTTTTCCGGGTAAAAAATGGGTCTATTTTTTTTCGGGTCAACAACGGGTCAATCTCGGGTTGCCGGGTCAAAATTGGGGTTTTGGGTCAAAAATGATCAATTTCGGGTCAAATGGTTAACCCGACCCAATTTTTGAAACGGGTCAAAATGTTGAACCCTACCCGTTTCGGGTTCGGGTTAACTCTAACGCGAAATTTTCGGGTCTGGTTTTCAGGTCGTGTCAAATATTGACACCCTTATTCCCAGGTTTGCCTCATTTGTCTGTTCTTTGCTAATCTTCTGCGTGAAAATGCCCTCTAATATTTTATAATTAAATGATATTATAATGACTTAAAGTGAAATAACTTTTTTAAATTATTTTTTAAAAAGTTTAGCTTATTTTACTTATTGGATTTCATAGTCACATTAAAGAAGTCAAGGAGAGGTTGAGGCTAACTCTTGAACTCCTAAATTTAGTGCAATCTTTCATCGCCCTCTCATTTTTTTTTAGTTTGTTTTGAAATAAGAGACTCTAGAGCAAAGTAGCACTACATTTGAAATAATAGTTTATTCGAAGTGGACGACAATAAATGTGGGTCATGCATCTGTTGGGTTGGTTGCTGGTAGACTCACTAAGGGATTAGTGGACATCGTCAAACACGTCACAAGATGACGTGGTAGCGGGCCGATACCCCCGTTCCAAAAAAAAAAAAATCACTAGTTATTATTTAAGTATAAAATAACCCTTCTATTATATTTTTTAAGGATAAACGAGTAATTTTATTATGAAATTAATTAAATTTAATGAAAAAAAAAAAACCTTGTGTGTTTGTCTATATATAATAATAATAATAATAATAATAATAAGCTATATTAATTAGTTAATTTCATTAAGCACAAATGATGCCTTTCATCATAACCATAAATAGTTATTGATATAATATAGTAGACATGAATTGTATAGAATAAATATTGTGAAGGAAATTATAAGAGACTTGTGACACGAAAGCTATCTTTTATAGATCATTTGCTTTATGTTTGATTGTTCCTCATTGATAGGAGAACACCATAGGTCAAAAAGTACAGCAAGAAACTTTGTTCAATTGTTGGGAGTTAGATGATATGTCGATGATGTGCATAAGCTTATGTAGATGATGGCGTATATCAATGCTATTAGCGACGATGGGCGGCAAATTCTATGGGCGTTGTTGTAGTTGGATGAAATTGCCAATGAGACTATAGTTGGGTGATAGTGGTTAGTATATCGTAGTTGGATGATCATAATTTGGGGGATTGTAATTGGGAGACAATTGTTCAAGGGTCGCAGTTGGATGAGATAACCATAGTTAATGATTGGAGGGCAAAGGTTTAGAGGCGGTTGTCAAACATCAGTGGACATGTGTTAGTGATATGTCAGTCATGGTCCAATTGCACCATTGGGATAATGATGATTTGATGGAGCTCTGGAAATATTCAAGTCTTTGAGCTCTCTTAAATCTCAAGCCAATGATTCACCTCGTACATCGAATGTAGATCTCTTTATAATTTTGGAGAGTGTAAACCAAAAACACTCCATGCATTGCTTCCATTGATAACTTATCATTCTTTTAGCATTTAAGTTCCTTAATGATGTCAGAATTAAACTACATTAGACTCATTAGATTGATTCGTGACATTCGTTGAGATGCTTGATTTGACTATCAACTCGCAAGATTTGATAACCACTTTCTGATTCAATTAATATCCCAAAATATTCAGTTACGTTTCAAGTGCTTGATCGAAGCTCGTTCGAACTCAAATCGGATCACTCTTGCTGTCAGCGGGTTCGTCTCATCAATACGTCCATTTTAACTGCGAGTTCACTCAAAATCAAAATTCATTTGATATTATTTTTTGTTTTAAAAAAATTAATTTGAATATATGTAAAAATTCATGCTCTATTAAATCAAAAATTGATGACATGTCATTCATAAATTTGATCAATGATGTATACCATTTGAATGAGATCTCCCAACAAAGCACATGCATTTGAATCATTAAAATACAAACTGAATAAATATGAGAATCATATTTTGTACGTGCTCCCTCACATGCTCCCAGCCACGTGCTGTGTCAGCCACCTCCCATAGCCCCTCTGCGCAGCATCACATGCATGGCCCCCTCTCCCCCATCACACCACCAACCCATCCTAAAAAACCAAATTATTTTTTTTATTATTATTATTATTTTGAACATTGAGTGAATTTTAATCATAATTATTGAAATTTAATAATTAATGTGCATCATTATGAAATCATGAAGCCAAGAACAACAACATCAAGCCTTTATCACACTGCGTGAGGTCGGCTACATGAATCCTTTTTCTTTGTTTTGTCTTGTTAAGAGTTAAATTCTCATTTCTAATGTTTTCTAACCAAGTCTATTTGGATCCATCTCTACATGTCTTAACATAAGCCAAATCTAATACATCTACTCTCCTAATCGGGTTATCGAAAGGTCGTCGTTGTTTTAGAGTTTAGGTCATCTAAGACGACTCTCTCTGATAATCTTTTCCTCTACTGGAGTTACTCCAACATTTTCATGTATATGCTCATTTCTTATCGTGTCTCTAAGAGTAAAGCCATTCATCCACCTGAGCATCATCATTTCTGCAACACTTAATTTAATATTATGCTTCTCTTTTAATGACCAATATTTTGCGTCATAAAGCATTGCAGGTATCACCACAATCTTATAGAATTTTTTCTTGAGTTTGAGGGGGACTTTTCTATCACACAATAAGTCTGATGAATTACTCTACTTCAACCGTCTAATTTGAATTCTACTAATTATAATATGAAATGAAGCCATGCAAAAAAATATATATGTATATATTCAATAGTACTCTTAAACACGTACATCTTAGGGTTTGTTTGAGATAGCTTTTTTGTTATTTTATTTTTCAAATCGTTGCCATAATTTTGCCTGGCTAGGATTTCCTCGTTGTTTTTAAGAAATTTTTTTGATAAGAAGCAATTTTTTATTTTACAAATAGCTACTGCCAGTCCAAAAGAATCTTTACATGGTCTTCCATTATATCTATAAAAGTAGATAAATTTATTTCGAGATGTGTGAAATATATTAAAAAAATTATTAAATTCATTTTAAAATAAATCTAAGGATTTTGAGATATATCTAATTAAAAAAATTGATAAGAACATTTTCAGATAAATTTTCCTATCTTAAATTGCCTCATAAGAAAATATGAATATAAAGGAGAAAGAGAGTAATGAATAAGAAGGGTTTTTTTTGTTTTTTTTTCACAAAGCAAATAAAGACTACTTTCTAATAACAGTGATATGTCATCAAAAAAGTATCCTGATCGGGCACAAATCTCAAGGTAAAATCAAGTCGAAAACATAAAAAATTAAATTCGGGATCACCTGAATTCCGATTTCAGCAAACTTATAGTCAAACTAAGTGTCTCGAAAATACGAATCCAACGACACCAAATTCAACTCGATCTAAGCCCAAATAAGTCTGAATCGAAGACCCGAAGCGTTGTTGGAAGGTTCAAACCACAATTTAGATTACCAAACGGTTTCCAAACATGACATGCTTATAGTTGAATCGAGCGGCTCGACAAGACAAATCCAACAAGCCTAAGATCGCCGAATTCCGATATCATTAAGACCTTCAAATATCTGACAAACGATCCACGATCAAGGGATTTAATATTGACCGTCCATCCGAACCACTCCACATTTGCCCTTGATCCTCCTCCTATTTATGGGTCATGCAATCCTCAAAAAAACTATAAATAATCCCCCTCATTTTTCTTGAAATGGGATCCAAGCAAGAAGAAGAAGAGAAGAGAAAGAGGGAAGAAGCTCCTCCTCGATCACCGTCGGAATTTTGTCCGACTTTCCCAAGACGTCAGAATTTTGTCTGACTTCCACATTAACATCGGAATTCTACCAGACTTCCACAGTGACGCCAGAATTTCGCCCGACTTTCCAGTGACGCCGAAATTCGCCCAACTTTCCAGTGACGCCGGAACTCTGTCTGATCTTCAAGTGATGCCGGAATTCTGTCTAATTTTCAAGTTATTCTGAATTCATCTCGAATACACAACTTGCTTATAACTAGATTTCAATCTGGAAGCGAATCATTGTAATATGATTGTCCTACATTTTAAGGACGAGTCAGCCTCTTGTATCTCAAGCAAATACTAGTGGAATTCTTCCGATTGGGCGTGACCCTGTGATTTTTTCTCTTTCCAGGTTTTCCACGTAAAAATTCTGGTGTATTTATTTTTCTTATGTTTGTGTGCTGGATATCCATACGACGCTAAGACGAAAATTTTTTAACTCTATCGCTGCATATATTCTAGCCCAC